TCGCTAGTGTTATCTAAATTCAATGATTGTGATGTACTTTATAACTCCTACCTCATTCAGTGTGATGAAAACACTGCTTGAAACCGTTCTGGAACCGGAAGTATGAATTATCCCTTATTGAATTCCTTAAAAATTCATCAAGTGGCTGCATATGACAAACTGCAGATATTACACTTTTGTTATCCATATTATAAAATTCTCCACAAAAAATCTCCATATGATTTTTTTTTCTGAAATACGATTCAGAACTGACGCCCATACATACACTTAGACGCCCACACATCCATCTAAGACATCATCTCACTATTCCTTCTCATACCTCGAAACTTTTCAAACGTTCGCTTTCTTATTCAATAGTAGCTTCCGGGAGTGTTGGGAAAACGCCATTATTTTCATTCTATAAAGCATTAGAAAACATATATTTACCAATTTCCGGGATATGAATCCAAAATACGTCTAACCCACCGTCATCGCGCTTTATCCTGTTGTAAAGCGACTTTTTGGCTTTAGTTGGTGGAAGAGCAGACGTAGGCGTGGGTCAATTAGAAAATATTGACACGCGAACTGAACCTCTTTATGCTCTGGTGGTCAAGAAGGACTACATCAGGTTCATTATTATCATCATTATCATTATCAATATTTGTGATGCACTTGTTATGTATTATCAATATTATAATTAATATTATTTGATGTAGTAGTCGTAGTCAGTTGAGTTTTCATTTCCCAGGAATGAACTGGGAACATTCCACTTATTCGATCTTTGTCTTATTGAAAGTTGGAAAAATCGAACTTGAGAACAAGAACAATACTAGGTTAAAAAACATAAAATATTGTTATTGGTGTTATTATATTCAACTTTTACAGATTTGGAGCAGAAATATTTGGAACTGAGATCAAAATTGAAAAAAATTGTTAAAACTAACGAGAAAAAAGACCTGGAAATAAGTAAGGTAACTATTTTGAAAGACGAATTTCATTCCATTGATGATTATAGAATATATTTCTAGTTATCGAATAAAGTAAAACTTTTGGGACAAGAGAATAGACGTTTACAAATGGAGCTACAAAGCGGAATTCATGACATGGAAAGTGAATCTGATGTTTCTGAGACTGGTAAAGAACAACGAAACCAACTCCTGGAATCTCTTAATACAAAAAATAAACAAATTTCCGATCTTTTGATGGATATTGAGGTAAGAATTTCAAATGTTACATTCATTGTTATTAGTCGTCTCTGGTAAGTTCGTTATTTTGGAGGGGGAGGCATACTTGAGATATCAGTCAAAGTATAATTTTTCATGTGTAATACTCTTACCTCAATATCCGATATTTTGATGGATATTGAGGTAAGAATTTGAAATGTTACATTCATTGTTATTAGTCGTCTCTCGTAAGTTCGTTATATTGGAGGGGGAGGCATACTTGAGATATCAGTCAGAGTATAAGTTTTCATGTGTAAAACTCTTCATTGAAAGTCTTCTTTCTGTTTCATTCAACAGCACTTCTGAGTAAGTGAGCAGTATTGATTATCAATTGGTTAGTAGTGCCGCTGATGTATTAGTGAACTAACGCATAGATCAAAAAAGAATAAAGAAACGCATCAGTTTATGGATTTGTATGTAATCTAGTGATATTGGAGGTGATTGTGTATGAGAACTTGACCTTGTTCAATACTTCTGGTTTTCTTGTAACCACCCCAATCTAGGTTTTTAAGTTAAGTTTAAGTTATGAAGTTATTTTGAATCGCACCATTGATCCAGATAAATATATTACTCAATTATGGTCCACAATATCATTGCATGAAATGAAAATGCTGCAATGTCGGGCTTTTAGTGTTTTCAAGCTATAAGAAAAAGGGTATTGCACAATATATCTTTCGCTATTTTACCATTTTCATTACATAAATTGACCTCCGAAACAATAAAAGACAAGGAAATACTCGAAGATAAAGTAACATATGCACATGTAGGATTCACAAATGAATGTTCCTCATTTTTTCAGTGAGTCCCACTTAATCCTCATGTATATATCTCAAACACGTATTACAAAGTCTCATATCAACTACTTTACCTGTCTCACTGAAACATAAATACCAATTACCTGTTGTTTTTTTGGTTTTCATTTTTTATCTTCTTAAGAAGAATCTGAGATAGTTAACTGACATTTTCTGGTGTTTGTATTCTTCTGTAATCCAAGCTCATCATGGGAAAATATTAATTTATTTTCGAAGAAAAGAGAAATGAAACTTTCTATGTTTTTTACCACTTTTATTTGTAAATAACGTTACTGCAGTTTCTTCATATACGGACATTTTCAAACTTATACAATAAACTCAGAACGAAACTGCAGTAACGATAGTTACAAATAAAAGTGGTAAAAAACAGAGAAAGTTTCATTTCTCTTTTCTTCATTGTGATTTCCTACCACGTAGTAACGACTACATCCATCAATTTATTTATTTTTTTTCTTTGAATGTGATCAATTCATCTACTTTTATATTTTCTATTCGATCTTGAAAGATTATATTTTTTTGGTGATTTCCTGTTTTCTAAAACTCTTTGAATTCAAACATTCTCCATCATTTTGATTTCAATTCGTCGCCCCTTTATTTCTTAGCGTGAGCTCAGAAAAGGCGGAAGTACTGTCTGGGTTGGTGTTTCGGTGTTGAAGCTTTGAGCTTCATCATTCATCATACTGCGATGAATATATTACCGAAATGAATTTTATTTATTCGATGAGTTGACATCCCAATAGGTCTCGAATGATCGAAAACCAGATTTGTCCATTGGCAATATTGAACAAAATTATATTTTTGGTTTTTAAAATGGGAAGATACACCGTTTTCATTTCATGTATTTATTTTATTGTGATAATTGATTCCTTCAGTATTTATCATAAATATTACTGCAGGGTGTTGAGAAAGAAAATTTCGCCTTGAGACAAAAAATTTCGAAAGTGAAAGATGAACTATTAGCCGCTACGGAAGAAATGACATCTGTGACTAAAACTTTGGAGTCCAAAGAAAAATGTTTGAAAGAATATACAGGTAACTCATCAGATCGAATGATAATAGTAATTGAATTTTGTTTTCTTTTTAGACAAATTAGAGAAAATGGAATTTCAATATAATGATTTGAAAAAAAACTTCAATGACTTGCATGAAACCAAAAACAGGATTGAAAATAATTTTCAGGAGAAACTGATCTCCTCCAGAGATGCAATCTCCCGATCTACTTCGGCCAATTCTTTCAACAATTCACTTCGTCGGCTGACAAGTCTCGCCTCATTGCGAGAAATGTCAACCAACGCGGCCTCACCAGATCGAGAAG